TTGACAGCACTAGTTTATTCTAAACCCTCAACCTTACAAATTAATTCAGCCCGAAACTGCTTAATGTAAAATTAAATCAAAACTTCATTTGAAAACATCAGTCCAAGTGGGCATTTGCATAGAACATGTTGCATTAAAATGGAACTTTGCTGCACCAAAGAATGAAAAAGAATGCAGCATGTCAAAACACGTTCTTAAAAATAACAAAATTATTTTAACTTTCAATATGGCGAGACACTGAAAAAGCAGCAAGATATGACATAATGGTCAATTACAGCTGTCTAGCACTTTTACATAGAAAAAACAGGTTCTGATAATATTTAAAAAAAAAAATGCTTTAATGCTGATGCAGAATTCCAATTAAAATGGGAATTTAAAGAAGTAGAATTAAAATGAACTGAAATTCATACACATATAATTTTTAACTAGAAAATCAAAGTTTGTCAAGGCAAAGTTTGAACAAGTTTGAGGGTTTATGGGCCCATATATTATATTATATTAAAATTAAATAAATTATGACACACTGGTCAATTATGGCTGTCTAGAATTTTTACATAGAAAAACCATAAAAAAAACTATGTTTTTGGTCAAAGTGTGGCACAGAAAGTAGTCCTTATAAATCTCTAGTGTCCTATATAATAAAGAGTGAATAAATAAAATATAAATAAAAAATGCAATGTCTTCATTAATATTTTCATTTTATGATATTTCTCTGCAAATACCGATATACATAAAATTGTGATTACATTTAATTAGGGGACATGTAATTAATTACTTTAATTAATTCATTTACACATTTTAATCAAGTGAAAGCCCTAGTTTACACAAAAGCTTTGTTGCTATATGGAAGTTAATAATTTCTTAACGACATACCTGAGTGATTTTGCTTTGGACCGAAGAGACAATAGTGGAGGACACTTGCTTGTCTTTCTCCTGAGAGCCATCCCTATTTAACAAAAAAAAAAAAAAAAAGAGAGAGTGAGACAGTGACAGACAGACAGAGGTCTGCCAATTGGCACGGTTTGTGAAAAACACCTTAATACAGTATTCATGACGACTGGTGACTACGTAACCACCGCAGACATCTCAGGCTGAAACTGAGCGACCAGAAGGCCATGAAATATTCACCCAATGCCAGAGGAGACACAAAAACTGCACAAATATAACAAAGTCTAGAGAGACACACAGTGGGAGGTAAAGAAGAAGCAACAAAAACAACTGAAGGCCGAGGGAGTTTAGAGCAACTTTTTGATGAAACTTGAGAAGTTGTATGAGTACCCAATAACCCTTTGCACTGTGGTGCTTTCTCAGGTTTTTGAATCAAAACCTCTCCATAATATACAAAAATCTTGTAAAATTCAGTTTTCATGCTTTGTTCAACAGCTAATTAACTCAAGTTGTCAAATCATATATAAAACCATTATAACTTCCAAATCAAAACGCTACAATGCAGACCGTCTTTGTGTCTCACGCACAATGCTGTTGGCAAAGCTTAAATTAATATTGCAACAAAGTGGGGGGAAAAATATGCTTGAAATCTATGATTCTGACTGAAGCGGACTGAGTTTCAGAGGATGGGCGGCTCTCGCGAGGTTCACGCAGACTGATTGTTTAGTAATGGGACCAGAGCGAGATGCCCTTTACCTGGACCTTGCCAGGCTGGAGGCGGGGCTTGTGGCAGGGGAGGGGCTTGCAGAGACTCTGGCCATGGCTCCGCCTCTGTCAGGGGATGCCGAGGGCAAACAGGAGGAACCCTTAAATTGGTGCGATGACTTTGAACCCTTCTTTTTCTTCTTTTCATGAGGTGATCTGTAAAGAGATATTTAAAAAAGTTACTAAACTACTAGATCAGCTCATTCAAAAACATTCTGCTGCATTGTTCGTTACAAGAACCACTGCCATTCATTTGTATTTAATGCATGTTTTGCATCAAAAGGCAAATACAGTTTGAGAGGGGAACATTTTAGGTTAATACCAGCATGTCTGCCTTCATTTTTAAATAAGTCTATTATTTTCTTCAATTATTTCTTCGAACTTTTTTATGTTTACTATTTTTTAAAATAACTTTTATGTAAATTACCACTCTGTATCAAATTTACTATATAAATAAAATTGTTATTGTATATTGTATAGCTTTAGAAGATTTGGAATATTGCGCACAGACTGGAATTTTGCAAAAAGTTTTTTTGCTTTTTTGATGCCACTATATGCTTTTGTTAGATTGGAAAAATTCTTTTGAATTCATTGACATTCACAAAATTCTTCTTTCTTTGATCTACAGAAGATGGAAAGTCATAGGTTTAGAATAACAATACATAATACAAAATATAAAGTATTTCACTTTTCACTAACTATTTTATGAGCTAAACAAGCATTGATTTTTGCAGCTCTGTGGATGTAGCAGTGAAGTGAGAGTTACTGTTTGACAGGAGGTAACACTGTGGGGTCTTAAAACATTCACACGACCCTTCAGCAAGACCCCTGATCCAGCACTGCATCAGCGAGGTGACTGGAATAGGCCAATCGCACATAACAGTCACAGCGTGTGCGCTCTCTCCAGAGAAAAAGCACATACACAGTCCATATCAAGGGGCCTTTATCTCCCAGGCTGTCCTTTATGAATATTTTATTTGAATACCTTAGGCATGTCCTTTAGTTGGAAAAATACATTTATAAAGGAGCACCCAACTTCAGTAAATGGGCATAGTGACCTCTAATTACCTGTGGCACTGTAGCAAAATGACAAGACATATTTGGAGAGTGGATCAAAGCAGTCCTAGGAGACACAATGAGGTTAAAAATGCGCTGCTGCAGACGTGCCAAGAATTCCACCCGAGGCATAAACTATTATGACTAATTGAATCAGTACAGGAAAATAGATCTAAGTTTATCCAAAAAGACAGAAACACATGAGGCCTCTCACTTACCCTGTCTGATTGGCATGATTAAGATTATCTTATAGCTTATTGGACAGGAGAGCGGTATGGAGATCAACAGAGACTTCCGAATGTATTTTTCCCCATTAATTTTTTCAAAACGGATAAAAAAAAAATAAAAAAAAACTTTAATAAAAGTAAAGAACAAAGCCATTCAGCTCTGAGATGAATCAGAAAAGCAGAAACTTTGAGTTTAAACCAAAAATAAAAATCATAAAAAAGGAAAAGGTTAAACACTGTGTACTTAACATATTTTATGAGGGAATAAACTACTCATTTCATAAACCACTGTGAATGACAATCATAACAGATAATTTATAATATTATAAATCATATCTGTATATATATATATATATATATATTTGTATGTATATTATGTATTACTAATATTTTATTTGATAAACTTAATACATCATGTAAATATTATTCTAATAATTTTTATATTATTCTAGTCATTAATTATATGACTTTTTATACATGTTTAAACAGTAATAACTTAATAATTTTATATGCAATATATACACATATATGATTACAAGTTAATAATAAATTCTAAGGCATTTAAAAGTATAACAAATGAATGAATATACAAATGGATAGGATTATGATTTTTTTCTGAATAATGAATCTTTAGAATCATGGGTAGTGTAGTTATTACAAAGAATTAGGCTATAAAACATTTCTTTTTTTAAATGTGAAGCAGTGACTCGCTGTGACTTATAGTTTCTACAGAAGCACATACCATCGCTTAACCTCAGAGCTCGTGGCTGGTCTGTCTTGAAAGATTTAGGCTACATATTTTGTAAAAATATATCTTCCTATGGAGAGAATAAATTATATTTTACTTCCGTAATCCAACCGTTATGCTATATTTCCAAGACAACAGCTGCTGCCTAGTCCAAGACAGGCATTCAATCTTCCTCTGCTTGCATGTAAGCGAGGTTCTGCATCTGAGACGCTTCTATCATCACTCTAACAAACCAAACCTCACTAAAACCCTGTAAGTGATCCAACCATCCATCTCTCCATCTCAATTCTTCCCTCAGTTCAAACCAGAAAGGTTTGAGGGTGTAATGAAAGATGCTGAACTTTTTATCTTTTGTAGGAGATGTGTAAAAAGTCTTTGCAACCTCCTCGGCAGCAGAATATGAAGAAATGTCTCAGCTAAGCTTTAAAGAGCACTGGAGAGAGTGGGCTGCTCAGATAAAAACCAATGACATAAAAGCCGGGTGAGATCTGAGAAGTCACCATGACCGTTTCTTTCTGTGGTGCTTTAGCACCATATAGGTGTCGGTAAGAAAATAATGGGAAGGTAGAGGAAATGAGAGAGAGGGTAGTGTGATGATAGCAGTCTCACAGGACTCTTCAATAGAAGGATTACAGTGAATGAAAAGATCATGCCTGCTGCAGACTCTGAGGAAACTCTAGGAAAGCACTTTTTACCCACTGTGAACAGCAGCATGCATGCTGACAATCAGCCAAACTGCTCCTTGTGATGATATACAGCTAGAGGGTTTCAAATGAGGCCATATCACAGCTGCCATTAATACAAACACATGTTCTTCCTGCTGTCATTATATTTGGTATTCACAGCAGTGTGCCACTGTAAATTAAACATAAATAAATAAATAAAATAAAATATATATAGGCCATATTTTTGTATATGTACACTACTGTTCAAAAGTTTGTGGTTGGTACATTTTTCTAAAATGTATTTTAGTCTCCTATGCTCACGAGCTGCTTTTATTTGACCAAAAACAGTAAAAACAGGAATATTGTTAAATATAATTACAATTTAAAATAACTGTTTTCTATTTCAATATGTGTCACACTGTAATTTATTCCTGTGTTTCAAAACTGAATTTTCAGCAGCCATTACTCCAGTCTTCAGTGGCACATAACCTTCAGAAATCATGCCAATATTCTAATTTGGTGCTCAAGAAACATTTCTTATTATTGTTAATCTTATTATTATACTATTATTATTATATCAGTGTATTATCCATGTTGAAAACAGTTGTGCTCCTTAATATTTTCGTGGAAACCATGATACTTTTTTTTTTTTTTCATGAATAGAAAGTACAAAAGAACAGTATTTATTTGAAATCAAAAAATCTAAATGTAACATTATACATGTCTTTAATGTTACGTTTCAATTTAATGCATCCTTGCTAAAGTAATTTCTTACTGAATAAACCGCCCCCCCAAACTTTTAAAACAGTGTATAAAATACATTTAGAAAATAATACTTTTTAATTAAAATATTTTTTTTTGTTTGTGTTTTTGAGCCTGATGTGACCTAAGTGCCTCCCCACCTTGATCTGGAACGCTTCCTGCCCAGTGCTGGGTTGCTGCCAAGGCGGTAGGTGCTTGGGCCGTAGCTCTCCTTCTCTCTCTCATCACGCTTTCTGTCTGAAGAGCGAGCTCGTCTGTCTCTGCGGCTGGGGGAACGAGACTGAGACCTGAGAGAGGAGAAAGAGAAGAAGAGATTGAAAGGAAAGAAACATGGTCAACTTAGAAGTCTTGCTCAAGAAATCAACCCACAGGTTAGACTTCTTGATGCTGTTAAATTAACTGTCAGCTGATGATGGTCCTTTGCTCTTTGCTCTCTTTTACCTCTTTAAAACCTTTTTGACAGATGGAGAAAGTTCTAAAAATGAGTAACTGAGGAGTTGAGGTCTTGAATATTGAAGAAAGGTTATAATTGCAAACAAAAACTATTAGATAAAGTAAAATATGAAATTACTTTTAATAAAAAAAAATAGCTGAAATAAATAAAGCAAAATTTTGTGTGGATGACATTAAAAACATGAAATAAATATGATACGGTTAATGTTTTGCTTGTGAGATTTCATTGTTAATTTTTGATGACAATTAAAACATGCTGCAAGCTATTACAATTTTTTTGGGAAAACCACACACATTATATGTCCTGTTAGTATTTGGCAGAGCTGAAGCAAATCCTCTCTTGTATATGCCATAATTGGGTCGCTGCTCGCCATTGTGTGTGAATAGCAGACTGACACCAGGTGCGCGATAATTAACAATCCAATGGAGAGCTGTATGAGCGTCATCATTGTGGCGTTTCACTGCTAAGATTAGCCAGTCAATCAGTCCGATATATCAGCTTAAGAGTTTAAGTTAAAAAAGATTCAAAAAGTTTAGAGGCAAAGTCAGCAGCAACAAGTGTCCGTGTCGCCAGCAGTGCAGCGCCACCGGATGTGTGTGTGACAGTCCTTGACTTATGTGCCATACACAGCAGACATCACTGTAAACTTTACAAAGACACTGAAGAAATGTCATGGACCTGGAAAATTTGGGCAAATCAGTGACAGAAGCCGTCTGGGACTGACACTAGACCTGATTGGATCTCAAATGGCGAATCATAAATGTCAAGAGTGACTGTAGTTACAGTTTACAGTTGTAAATGAAGCAGCAATTGGCACATTTATCGCAGATTTCACTGACAGCAAAACTGCAGTATACTGCGATGCTGTGAATTTTACAAAACTCTGAGTAAAACATTAAGGCACTAAGTGTAAATTGCGATAGATGGATTCTATTTACACTAAGTGAAAATAGCAGTATTTTTTAAGTATATGCTATTTACACTAAGTGAAAATAGTTATAGATTCTATTTACGCTGTTAAAATAGTAATATTTTCTACTAATTGCAAATAGCGGCAATTATCTGCACCTACTGTCGTACATTATAAAACAGTACGCAATAATACCGTATTGAGTGTAAATTATAATTTTAATTCAAATTATTAAAAGGATGCCACCTTATTGGGACAATAAAGCCCTCCCTACATCTAACTTAACCCTACCCAATACTTTATTTTCAACTTTTTGATTATTTCCTTCATTTTTATTGAAAATAAATGCCTTTCTGATGCGATATCAGATTTGAGAAGGGAGAAAAAAAAGTTTGCCAAAAGACGGGTTCGAACTCGGGTCGATCCCGTCAAAAAGCACGCACCTTACCATGAAACTGATGTGTAACATGCGTCTTTTTTCAGTGTTGACTATCCCAATCACACATTGGTGGGTGGAGTTAGTGTAAATAGCCTCTGCCAACAAGGCGGGCTATTTGCACTTAGTGTAAACAGACACTACGAAAACGCCACGTCATTATTTTAATGTTCAATAAATAATAATGCCTCACTGATTCTGGAAAATGCTCATAATGTTGACGAACACAATCCAGTAACAAAACGGATGGGCTGTTATTAAGAGTTGTGCGTAGGTTGAAATGTAATCATACGTGTATATACCCACTCAGAAGGAAAATGTGAATTAAAATAAATATCTCGTATGGACGTACACTTCAAACAAGTAGAGCAATGAAAATGTGGGGGTCAGGAACAGGCAGAGAGAAAGAAAAAGATATATTTATACAGACAGGAAGAAGGAAGTAAAACATATTAAATCTAATCATTAATAATCTACTGCAGGGGTGTCAAAGATATTATCTGATGAAGAGGAAAGTATTTTTTCCCCACCATAATACATTTGCATCCATTTATTATAATTGTGTCCAGTGTGAATTTCATTTTTCTTTTCTTTTTCCGCTACACTGGACAGATATACTCATTAAGGATAAATGTGTGGCTGGTTCCTGGTGTTGACACACCGACTGGAGACGAGATGTCAGGTGGCAGCAAATAAAAAGGAGTGAGTAGCTTTAAATACTGACACCGGTATTATTAGCGGTAACAAAATTAGAGGCATAACACTGGTCATGTTTGATGTCAGAAAATAGCCGCTTTATAATTACTTCTGGCCCTAGGATTGCTAATTCAATGTCCATGCTCACTGTCGGAGTCACCGACTGAGATATGGGCTAGTTATTAATGAAGGCTATAATAAAAACAACAGGTTCATGGTTTGTGTGGTGATGTTTGATTTATAACACTTACTAATGCTATATATAAAAAGTTATCTAATCAAATGAGCCGTTTTCTAGTTTCCTTGATGATGATGTATTATAATTATTGATGACATAAAAGGTAGATAATTCACTAAATATGGTAAACATGGCTGTTGTTACTATGAAAAAGATGGAGATAAAACAATGATTTTACTGTAATTTTACTAGAATTTCAGACTGGAGTCAGGTTTTAGGTTTTGTTTTTCGTTATTTAAATGCTACTGTTTTTATAATTGATAAATAATACATTTTATACAAAAATAAATCTATACTAATCCGTCTAAATAAAGTAAAAAATAAAATATCCAATATTGGTCAATATACAATTACATTCAAAAGTTAAGGGTCAGCAAGTTTTTTTTCCTTTTAAAGAAATAAATACTTCTATTCAGCAAAGATGCATTACATTTCTATTTAGATTAAATGTTGTTTATTCAAAAATATTGATCAGCACAACTGTTTTCAATTGATAATAGGGCTGTGACGGTATGGGATTTTTTCTTACCTCGGTGAAGAAGCAACAAATCATGCGGTTTGGCGGCTTATCGCCATATTTGTTATTTTATTCGTCTTGTAAAACTCAAATTAGTTTTACATTTTGCTGTCAACACAATAGGAAAAAGTGTCACAGAGAAAAAAAACTAAACAAACATTTGTCATTTAACATTATAAGTAAAATATGAACAAAACCGTTGGCTTGTAGCCATTGCAAAATTAAATCACTTTTTAAGCGAGCAATTTAACATCCCTGAGAAGAATGTCCCGAGTCAGACTTGCCTGACGTGGGTTTCTTAGCAGTAAACTGACCATTTTCCAGTCCAAGTTGAACGTCCTTCAAGGACAGCGCATCCACACTTTGCTTTGCCATCCTTATTCTGATCTGTCACTCATCGACAACCTGCCTGTTCTGTCAGAGGGCCGTATATTTACCACCAGTACATATGCACATGCTGCATGCACAGACCCCGCAAATAAAATACATGACGCAGAAAGCACTGGTCCGTGCGTGCAGCGCAAGCATAACAGTCCTGAGTGCAGGCTACTGGTGGTCAATAAGAGTGAGTAAAGAGATCTGAAAGGACGTCGGGAACGGGATATTGTTAAGGCTGGGACACACCAAGCCGACGGTTGGCCATTGGCGACGGTCGGGCTAGTTTGTTTGGTGTGTTCCACTCATCGGGCTCACGTCGGCGGCAGTTCGCCCGATTCAACATGTTGAGAGCACTGATTGGATGTTCAGTTTAGCGAATGAGTCAGTGCCCGAGAATTAAAGCGAAAGTGATGAAAACAAGCCCGTAAATGAAGGCGGTATAGACAGACGGATGTTTAAATGTTTCGTGATCTTTCCCAATCATTCTAATACGCAAATGTTTTCATAACAACATGAGCCGCTTAAAATGATTAAAGTTATCAACGTTACTGATATTCAAAATTGTAAGCAAGCCCTGCTTTGTTTACGTTTCGTATATCTGCATTTATCTCGTATATCTTTGTTTCGGTTTCTCCTTTTGAATGACGAATATAGTATAGCTGCTGATATAGACAGTTAATTCCTCTTACACATGCGCAGAACGCAAGTGTTAGTTTGCCGTTGGCTGTAGTCTGTGCGGTGTGTACGAGCGCAGCTTTTTGGTCCGACGTTGCCGACGTGAGGCGACAACACCGTAGGCCTTCGTCGCCGCTAGTTTTTGAAGTCGGCTTAGTGTGTCCCGGTCTTTAGACCGCCCGCTCCGGTTCAAATTACACAAGAGTTACTGACCGCTACCGTGCTTTGTTTGGGAATTTAATCCCGCATCGCAAGAAATCTGGTCATGTAGATCTGGGATGCAGACCTCTAGCTTCCTCCTGCAAAATACCTTGCAAAAAAAGTACGGTGATGACAGTGATGACCTCAACACCGTGGTCGGCATCTCATTACCGCGGTACAACTGTATTGGTAATAATAAGAAACGCTTCTTGAGCACCAAATCAGCATATTAGAATGATTTCTGAAGGATCATGTGACACTGAAAATTTGATTAATGGCTACTAAATTTCAGCTTTGTCATCACATGAATAAATTACATTTGAAAATATATTTAATAAAAAAAACTGCGGTTATAAACTGTAATAATATTTCACAATATTACTCTTTACACCAAGGTGATAGGAGATTCAGTGTGCAAATAATGCTGTTTAGATTTGAAAAATATTGAATATTCATCCATTTAAGTCAAGTCAAAGTTAAGTCAAAAAGTCAAAAAGAAAGGTAATACTCATAGGTTATAAGTAAAAATCAGATCTAAATCTAAAAACACTCTCTTTAGAAGCCTGCTTCCTAGTATTTGAAAGCTTGACATGCACTTTAGCTCTTTACCTCAATATCCTCAAGACTACATGACACAAATAGTTTATTAAATTCCTCTTAAATTCAAAATCAGCTCACAAAGATCGGCAATTACTGGGAAAGAGTACAAAAGGTGAGTGCTGAATACTTTAACACACATTTCCTCTACTGAAGTGGCGATACTCAGACACACTTGACCAGAACTCGGTCCAAACACGAGCTGACCTGCTCTAAAACAAACACTTGTGGTCTAAAGGCCCTCTGCCACTCGACAGCAATCAGGGAACAAGGTCAAAACCACAAGGTCACGTGTCTGGCTTAAGAAATGTACATGTCCATTCTTGCTAATGACATGGTTGTGTAAGGACACGACAGATTGTGGACAAAGGCATAGTGCCACTCCAGAAACTCATTATCTCAGGTCATCTGAGGACTAATGGGAAAGGGCAACACTGGAAGGCCATGATGGGGCTGTACCCAATGAGAAATTAACTCGGAAGTGAGACGATCTGGATTAGACGGAGATGGGATTGTCATCTTAATGCAGACACTGCAGTCTGCGCAGTGGTGCAAAGCCTATGAAGTAAGCGGATGAACTGCAGTTCAATAACAGAGGAATAAGAAAACCACCAGGGATAGAAAGATTTCTCATACAGCTCTTAGCTGGAGAACATGGCTAAAGCCAAGGCGATATCTACAGAGCCCCACAGGGGCTCAGCCAAACTAGATTAGTAGTCTAAGAAGAGCTTCTGCCCAAAACTCATCTCAATCATTCTCTTGCACAGACAAGATTTATTCTACAAATCTATATAAATATATATAAATCTATCTATCTATATATATACATAAATATATACACACACATAGAGAAAAAGAGAGAGAGAGAACGAGGCCATTCCTTATCTTGTATTAGAGGAAGCGGTTTTACGCCTTTCGATATTTCACCTACCAAGTTCATCTGAGTTATAGCCACAATTTTTGCCCTTGTTTGGCAAGTTTGCATGGAAATATAACCAAGGAAAAGAGCCAGAGATTGTGAAAGATGGAGAGAGATATATGTGTTCTAGATTCAGTGTAAACACTATGCTTTGGCAATACATTGTAACAATTGTCATGCCAATAAAGCACGAATTGTGAATTGATGAATTGAATTGAATTGAGAGACAGAGAGAGAGAGAGAGAGAGAGAGAGAGAGAGAGAGAGAGACAGAGAGAGAGAAAGAGAGAGAGAGAGAAAGAAAGAAGAAAGTGAGGCCCTTTACGTGGCCTCACTAAAGTGATTTAAATGCTGGGGCCAAAATGATTTAATCTTCAGAAATTATATTATGGCGTGTCAGGACGGGCATGATGAGGGGACTGTAATTACTGCAACTTCAGCAGCGGATAATGACAAATCGGCCTTGGTTTCCAATAAAGAGGACGGATAGAAAAACGAGGGCGGTGCAGGGGTGAACAAAAGTTTAGAGGTGGGGTATTGCATCCTTGCCTCAAGTTTCTGGGAATAACACTTTTGACAAGCCACTCTTCCCACATGTATTTACAGATATAGATCCAGAAAAAAGTATGTGAACCCTTGGACATTTACTATTGATTTCTGCATATAGTGGTCATTAAAAGTTTTAAAGTCAAAATTACTCCTAAATTCTTCCAGATATTCCTATCTGAAAATGAGCTGAAATTAGAGGAATCATTTGGTGCACATTGAGACCCTAATTTTAGAGAGTTGTTTTACATTTAAATGCTATTACCATTTTCCAAACCTCATATTGTTCCAAACCTGTAAAGGAACATAGAAGATATTTTGAGAAATGTCTGGGTCATTTTTTGTCTATATAATGAAGGTCAATGCTTGATTATCAACATTCTTTAAAATAGCTTCTTTTGTGCAGAAGAAAAAAGTAAAACTTTTTGGGTGAACTGTCCCTTTAAATTTAAGGCTCTACATGCTCGTTCCACCCTGCACTGAATGTTTACACTGCGTGTTCAATAAAAACGTCTCAGTGTTTGTGTTTTATTTGTTTAAGCTGATCTAAAGTTGTGACTTTGTTGAAGATCAGATTACATTTTTCAACTAATTTATACAGAAATCCAAAGTTAACCCAAGGGTTCACATACTTTTTCCTGCAACTGTATTTCTAAGTTTAAGAACTGAAATTTTCAAATGATTAATTCCAACTTTTAAGCCCTAAAACCACATTTTACATTTAACTCAAAAGGTCACTTCAATTAACATTTTTGGATGGATAAGTTGGAAAAGGCAGTTTAAAAACATAATTACATTTCAGTAAATGTAGCCCTAGGTACATGCCATTAGCAACTAACAAGCTCTTTCTTAACAGTTTAAATCGTTCCTGGAAAAATGTTACAACTCCCAAGCCATTACCTGGATCTCCTGAAGGTGCGGTAGGCACTGGGCAACGAGTGCTTGGTTTTGGATTTGGATCTGGAGCGCGAGCGGGACCTGGACAGAGACCTTCTCTTATGTTTTTTCTTCCTCTTGTCCCGTTCTCGATCCCGATCCCTATCACAATCCCTTTCAGGCCCACGGGTAGAAGACGAGGAGGAAGAAGGGGTCACATGAGAAGCAGGGGCGTTCACACTCCTTGTTAGCGCGCTTTCCAGAGGCTGGTAGTCAAAGCCTGGTATACGAGTCGTGTGTTGAGGGATGCCACTCATGGGAAGGGCGGACACCAATGGCTGTAGAGACACAACAAAGAAAGAGGGATTAGACACACGAGACCTGAAGCACATCTCAGACAGGCACATGAAAGAAAACTGCCATTTTAATGAGCAAAATCCAATCAGGCTGCTTTCTCTGGACAAAATTACGACACATATTAGATGAAAGGTGGTCCCAATGGCTTTCTAAATTTGCGCATCTGCCCCAATCAATAGAGCCCCAACTGGCTTCGAGTGGTCTCGGGGACCGTATCCAATTTAGAAAGGTTTTTGCCATCAGTGTATGTCTCCATGTGAAAGGAAGCAATGTTACTATGTATGTGGACGGCTCCCCAGAGCAGTGCCTGTGTCTTTTTTATCCCTGGTCCTAATAACTCCACTTCGCTCCTTCCACCCCAGAAATAGCGCTAATTAAAAATACTGGTTGTTTCGCAGCATAATATGGGTCTGGCAGAAAGATAATTGGCCATTCTCTTCTGTCGTAATCACTTCAATATGTGTCTGTCTGGTTAAATGAGATCCCCTCTGCTGTTGGATTCACATCAGAAATGGAATTTCATCAATCAACGCTGCAGCTCACGCTGTCGAAACCACATCTGTGGGTCTCGGTTCATCACACGCGAGGAAATAAAAAGTCTATTTTATCACAAGGCAGAAAAGGCTTTGGACTCAATAAAGTCAGGCTTGAAATCTAAGGGCTACAGGTCATATAATACAGCTCTGGAGAGCTTAAACGAAACCAGGACGCAATATCATCCTGAAGTATTTTTAAACGTGTCCCAATTAATCTAGAAATAGTGTTTTTCTCTTTCTATCTAGCATGGGAACGTCTTTTATGTAAAAGATAGTGCAGCTCAGGGCAACAGGGTGTTGGAGTAGGTGCTGTAGATGGAAGATTAGAAAACTGCATTCAATTTGATAACTCTCTAGCTGGAGTTACATAATGGGACGCAGGGTTGGGTTTGATTTCAGGGGTTTTGGGTTGACATTTGGCTAGATAAACCCCAAAGGAGAGCGTGGCACAAGTGTCCGGTCTCTCACGTCTGTTTTCAAGAGATAGGGACAAAGTGCCCTCCGAAATATCAAGCCTGCTAGAGCCCATGTAATCAGGCATGTGTATATTTTTACATTTTCTATAAAAAAAAAAAAAAAAAGGTTGCCCGAGCATTGCTATGCAGTTTCTAGAATGTTGCTTACTGGGCAAAGTCAAACGAGGACAGCCTCAAGTATCTATGATGTTTTGGTCACTAGTTATGGCTTGGGTGCCACCTTCAACATGGATTTGTGAGATTTTCTGAACAGTTTTATTGTAATAGAGCAACATATCACATGATTTCAGCACAAACTTTGTAGGACAAACCATGCAGGATGACTTAAGAAGTTTAATACTTAGGGTTAGGGTTTTGTTAAAATCCATAACCCAAGGTATGAGCAATAGTGATGCTTTGCCTTTTAAGTACTACTAAGTACACACCTTGTAGCTGAGAATGCCAGGTCAGCAAAGTTAGAGAGCTTAGTCATTGCGCATGTTAATAAGGAGAAAGTGTTCATCCAAATCCCTACAGTAAAAACCAGCTGCTGTTGTATTGGAACTCTATTAAGAAATTCAAGTGAAAGGGAGAGAGCGAGGAAGATAGAGTGTGAGAGAAAGACAAACGGCAAGGTCTAACCTTTCATTTCTTTCATAAATGTTTTCATTTGGTCCTTCACACACAAACATGGTACAAATCGCAATCTGAAGATTGTATTTGTCATCTATCGATCTATAAATATGTCAAACACTGTGTTTGTTCAACCTGAGACTGTGACTAAAGCAAACTAGCCTGAGTAAAGAAACAGTCTGTGAGTGGTAGCTTGCTCCGACAGCTTTAGGGGTTAATCACAGCCTTACTTGCTCAATAAAGACACAGGGGAATATGAGTGCAAAACAGGCCTGTCTCCTCTTTTAGAAGTGTATTAGCTGATAATGGGTTAAATTCTACCCCTTACAAGGTTTGCCTAAATAAAAGCAATTTAGAGCATTTAATTTGCTCTCATCAAGTTGCATTAAATAAATAATCAAATTAATTATACAATATTCTGACTAATTCATTGACTATATCTGAGAATTGCCCCAAATGAAAAAGAAAAAAAAAAAGAAAAGAACTGATTATTAGAATATTCACAGCTACTCAAAGGGAGAAAAAAAACTATAAAATTACATTGATATTATAAAACAAATTGAAATAAATTTTTAAAATATACACACGCACACACATACAAACACACATAAGTATATACCTACCTATCTACATACATACATCTATATGTATCTATCTACTATAAAATAAATATTTTAAAATATGAGACAATAAGAGACACCGAGACACATCCAAACAGAGTACACAGACAAAGCTCCTCAGGGGTCGTGACAAGTAAAGAAGTGGTACCTAGAACAGCAGAAGAACAAATGTATGGAGTCATTAAAACCCCGGTGCTAAATTCATCTGCTCCGTCTGCAGTGAGAAGTGCGCAGCATATTTAATCCATCTGTTCTTCATACTTGCAGAGAAAAACAAATGTAAGTGGGGTAAATTGCTGCTATTTAGTTCACATTCTCTGGAGACACTGCCAGAATCCGAAGTTTTTACCATAGTAGTTTTGTTATTTTTTAAACCATCTCCACTGGATTGAAAGTGTTTGGACTGACAGCTTAGAGAAAAAGTCATGGAGGAAGTGCCTCAGGTGGAAGTGTGCAATTACAGCCAGCAGCTTTTTCCTTGTATATATTTCTCACAGTAAATACACACTCCGGGTCACAAAGGGCGGGAAACGGTCATCAGAGACGAGTCAGCAGATCAGTCTTCGTCAACTTTTGACACGATCACCTCAGTCTCCTCAGATTTTCCCCAAACATTGACTGCACAAGGCAGATTCAGTGTGTTATGAGAGCCATTTAAATGCATGAGCAGTGGCACAACATTCTATATAGTCTACATCTCTCTCTCTCCTATAGCCAGCAAAAGTACAGACACCCTTTTTCATTCAAATAACGACACCTAGAATGAGTCTCTTTGATCTTTGCCAGTTTACTTCGCTCTCCCGGGATTCCTCGGATATTGAGGCACAGCGACTCTGGCACAGACACTCAGCGCTACGCTAATTAGCTTGGGCTTCCTGAAACGAACCATTATTTATGATTCTCTTTAGCTTCTCTAAACGAAAGGCTATTGTTTCTCTTATTCTGGAGGAGCATCTGGAGTTTAGGACAATCATTCCAAAGGTACTTCAGGGAAACAGGAGTTGAATTTATTCACGATTTCTCTCCACACACATCTAATGCCACATCTAATGGGAGCTATTATCTTAGTAATTACAGAGAAATGGACTTCATATTTACTTTCCGAATTTTCTTTGCCACAAGAAAAATGTTTTCCTCTAAAACAAATTCAACACCACACTTTTGATCTCCAAATCATGGTAGCGAACATCTGAAGCACTTTTCACACTACTCTTAAAGGAGCACTGTAGTGGTGTTGGGGACCATAGGGAAGCTTTAATCTCACCCGACATTTGCATGAAACATTAGGACACTTTCCTTCCCGCAGGATCTCTGATTGAGGTCGATGAAGGGAGTTTAGAGATTCTGAAAGCTGCTGTGTGCAATCTCACTACTCCATACACATGGTTAGGTACCTGCCAAATCGCCTTGGCATCTGCTGGACAGTGAAAATGCAAAACTAAGTAAGTGTTGAAGGGTGAAAAATTAGTTTAGGGGAGAGACGTAGTAAGCAATTGAAAGGAAGTGGTAAAGCCATTGCATCATGCTGGATGGCAAGCGAGGGATTATGGGGAAAAAATGACTGAGAGGCTAGTTTAGAGTACAGTAAATTCCCTAAGTCCATGCAAACAATGCAAGCTGGTCACCTTTTTGCATTCAATCATCTGAGTGATACAGCATATCCTGTCTTTAATAATAATATTACATGGGAAAACTATGTGAACCCTTTCGATTAAAGGGATAGTTCACCCAAAAATGAAAATGTTGTCAGCATTTACTCACCCCCTTGTTGTTTCAAACCTATAAGAGTTTCTTTTCAGTAAATGATGACAACATTTTCATTTTTGGGTGAATCTTTTAACTTGATTTGTTATAAATTTTGATATAACTTTCAACAGAGTCTGTTTAAACAAATAACACAAAGACATATTTTCTCGTGTCTATTGAACACAGTGTGAAAATACTAACATTGCAAGGAGGAAAAACTATGTGAACACGTAGGCTAATGGCTACTCATGTAATTTTGAGTTCTGTAAGAGAGGCGAGATTGGTGGTGTTGGGCCTAAAATTGTGGGTTTGCTAATCAAAAACATCATTGCCTCGTGTGCACCAAACATCAAGCAAAAGAGTGCTGAGAACATCTGAGATTGAGAACTGCTGACCTGCAGAAAATTTTAAGGGGTCTCTAAAAGCCTTGTTGTTCATCAGTCCTTGGTAAGACAACTTGTCTTTCTAAAACAACACTTGTGAGTTTGCAAAAGAGCACCTGAATGTTCCACTGCTCTACTGTGCAAAATATTCTGTGAACAGCTAAAACCCAAGCTGAGTTGGTTGGGGGGTGGGGGCATTATATAGGAGAAAAAAGGCACAGAAGTGGAGGGGCCATCATGGATTTGGGCTGCTTTTATACCTTGGGGCCTGAATCGCTTCCTATCATCAATGGAAAAATGAATTCCCAAGTTTTCAGGACATGTTGTAAGAGAATGTAAGATCATCCGGCTGCCAACTGAAGGACAATGACACTAAGCAAAGGAGCAAACCAACAACAGAAAGGCTTGACCTCAACCTGATTGAGATGCTTTAGCATGACCTCAAGAGAGCCCATCAAATAGGGATACTGAACATCTGCGATTTAAATGGAAATGGCTGCAGTTCAACAAGTCAAGATGGCTGAATTCAGTACTCTCTTCTGGTCAGTACTGGTGGATGAGCAGTGAACGATGGATGTGTTCACATTAATCAAGCGAACAATGAATAA